AAAGAAGAGAAGAAAATGCAGAACATAACGGCGGGAGCGACAGACGGGATCGAGCTGAAATGTGGAATGTCTGGAAGTCACAAACTGATCTTCACCCTGGTGCCCATCGTCTACGGCTGCATCTTCGTCATCGGCATCGTAGGGAACAGCATGGTGGTGGCGGTCATCTACTGCTACATGAAGCTGAAGACGGTTGCCAACATCTTTGTGCTCAACCTGGCCGTGTCCGACCTCACCTTCCTCATCACGCTGCCCATGTGGGCCACCTTCGCCGCCACGGGCTACCACTGGCCCTTTGGGGGATTCCTGTGCAAGGCCAGCGCCGGCCTCGTCATGTTCAACCTCTACACCAGCATCTTCTTCCTCACGGCGCTCAGCATGGACCGCTACCTCGCCATCGTGCACCCGGTACGATCGCGCCGGTTGCGCACCGTGGTGTACGCCCGCGTCACCTGCGTGGTGATCTGGCTTTTCGCCTTTCTGCTCAGCGTTCCCACTGCGCTGACCCGAGACATTCACCACATCAAGAACTCAAACACCACGGTGTGCGGCGTTCTGCACCCAGAACTTGAGGCTGAGGCCATGAGGCTGAAGGAGCTCCGGCTCGCCATCAACCTCATGAAGAGCCTGCTGGGCTTCCTCGTACCCTTCGTCATCATCATCACGTGCTACTGCCTCATCGGACGGGCGCTCGTGGGGGCGAGGCAGATCCAAAAGAGCACTCGTTCCCGTGACGATGAGGTGCTGCGCATGCTGGCGGCCGCCGTCCTGGCGTTCTTCCTGTGCTGGGGGCCCCACCAGGTGTTCCACCTGATGCAGGTGCTCACGCAGCTGATCCTGAAGGACAACTGCGCCGTGGTGGAGATCATCGACACGGCCATGCCCTTCACCATCTGCATCGCCTACTTCAACAGCTGCGTCAACCCCATCGTGTACGGCTTCGTCGGGCACAACTTTCGCAGGAACTTGCTGCGTCTGCTGCGCTGCTCGCCCCGCAGAGCGACGGGGCCCCACCCGAGCATCAGCTCCAAGGTGAGCGGCTTCTCTTTCAGGACCTCTGAGGCGTTAAGTCTCACGACCAAAAGTAAAGCGTCCTCTGATGTTAAGTGATAGAAAAAAAAGGAGGGGGACATTCTCACTCTCCCCCGCTCGACCCGTCTGCAGTTAAAGAGCGAGGGACGGAGACATTCAACGATTTAAAAAACCCCAACATGCAGAATGGTTGAAATTGTTGTTTTCATGTCCCTCTGTGATGATGTCATCGAGACATCCATCAATCCATCCATCCATCCATCCATCCATCCATCCATTTCCTTCCACAGGAAACGATACCTATTTATGTAAAGAACAGGATCGACAAAAACATCAGAAGTACATCAACCAGTCCATGTGGGAAGCCAAAATAAAAAAAAATCCTCACAGGAGCTTTAAAAAATGATTGTAAACATGTCATGATGTCATCGAGACGTTAACTGACCTTGTACAGTGCTTATCTGCGGGTTTGATATTCACAAGCTGTCATGTCATGCAACACACATGGTCGTCGTATCCCCGCTCTGTGAAACGAACGTAATCGCCCCGACATAAATATAGTATATCAATGGAGCATTTCCATATGTATGCATAGCTTATCCCATTATTTATCAAATAAATGCATGTTCTGCAGGATTCTGCTCACAGCGCAGTACTTTATATCGTCCACTGATAACGGCTCTGTGTGCTCAGCAGGTTGCTCAACAGTTGAAACAGTGATCAAGTGCTCAGCTGAGACCCCTCCCCCCCCCAAAAAAAAAAAAAAGAAAAAGAAAAAAGAAGCGTCGTATGCTTGCTTCATCAGCAGCTGGAACAATTGGAAGCTGAAGTGTAGTTTTAAAATGTGATGTGAGTTCATATCAGCATCAAACCCCCCCCCCATCATGTTTGAGTCTGCTGTACTGTAAGTGGTCATCATGTCCACATACCTGCTCCTCGTGTTTGCATAAAACAAAGAAATGCTGAAATGTTCTGGGAGGGAAACATGCTGTACAAATGAATCACTCCAGGTCGTGTGATTATTGTCAATATATCTGGTGGTTGTTGTTGTTGTTGTTGTATTTAAACATGTTGATAGATTGTTGTTTTTTTTACCTTCTGTGTAAGTGTACAGTTTGTGAATATATGAAAAGATGAGAATATGAATAAAATCAAAAGAATCTAAAGTCTTGAGTTGTATTTTTTGATTATCTCATAGTAAAAAAAGAAACACATGATCTTAATTACTCATGAAAGATGTCATAAGCTGCAGAAACATCCAGAATTAACAACTGATCAGCGCTCTAAGGAATCATAATCAAGTGACCTTGGCCCAAAATTTCACCCGAGCGCCTTCAGCACCTATTAATCATCGACTCCTGAAACCAACAGGTGCGCTGCACGAGAATTTTTTTTTTGGGAGGATGCATGATAACATGGTGCTGCATCATCACGGGCGGGGATTGGTGGATGGGGCGGCAGGTCGGGGGGTTATAAGGGCTGCCGAGGGCTGAGAGAAGCCTCACTGCCAACATGAGGATCCTTCTGCTTTTCGGATTGGTGGCTGTTGCCCTGACTGATGTCACACGCTTCGAGGGGTAAATCTCTCACCTTTGACTGAACGGGGAAACACATTACGTTTCTACCAATTTTGTCTTTTTGTCTTGTATTTTTGTGGATTTTTAACACTGCTTCTATTGAGAATGTCGTACTGAATTTAGTTGTAGACTACTACAAAGGCAATAAACTTCCTCATGCATTATGTCTTAAATCACACGTAAGAGTTGCTCTGAAATATAAAAACTGTGGTGCTAATCATGTTTTTTTCATTGTGTTTGCAAAATGACACAATGCACTAAGACTTCTTACTTGTTTACTCATTTCTTTTTTGACTTTTTAGACAATATTTAATTCATGAATTTCATGAAATTGCATCCTCATTAGTATTTTTAGAAAGGCTTCAAATGTACAACCGCTCAGCGGCTGTCAGGCAGCTACTACTCAATTTCTACAAATCTTTTATTGTGAAATACATCGAGATGGTGGAAATTAACAAGCTAGAGTCGGATAATGCTACAAAAAAAACAAGAAATACGCTCAGAAATGTGAATCATATCACTTTGAGTGTTGAGATTTAATCGTGATTTCTCCCTCTTTTTTTCACATTAGAGAGAAAGTCTTCCGTCTGAAGCCCACACTTGATGAGCATGTGACCCTCATTAAGGACCTGGCCAAGAGCATTGAGGTTTGCGCTGACACACTCTCACAAATCTTATAACACTACCCTCGATGTCACTGCAGGTGTTAAATTGGCTTGCTGAAGATAAAAGAGGCTACATTGGACGTCGTGTTTTAGGCTCTTTCTTCTAATTCACTTCATGTCCATTCAGATTAGCAAATGGGGTCAAACAGAACCTTTTTAATTTCCTTCCCAGAAAGTCGATATTTGGCATATTCACTAAAAAAGAAAGAAAGAAAGAAAGAAAGAAAGAGGCTGAATTGTTGTAGTAGGTTTTCAAGCTCCAAATGTTCAATTGTTTGGCTTTGGCGCCCTCTGCAGCTCGACTTCTGGAAACCCGAGAGCCCTGAGCTGGTGACCATCGACATCGAGGTGGATATCCATGTGCCCGCCATCTACCTCGATATGGTGTACACCATGCTGCAGCAGAGCGACATGCAGAGCGAGTACGACAAAAAACTGAGATGCAAAATTAAATCATTCAACAATCAGTTGCACTTTTAAAAATGCAGGTATTTTATTTCACACATGCAGTGTTTTCACATTTGTTTTTCTCTCGTGCGAATCCCTCTTAAAGGGTCCTTATTGAGGATCTGCAGAAGGCCGTTGATGGCCAGGCTGATGGTGGACAATCTCCCAGAACCCACAGCTACACCAAGTACAACACCTGGGACAAAGTAAGATCCAGACGGATTATCAGTGACACTCTTTACCCTGAATGGATTGCTTTTTCTTTCTTTTTTTTGACTATTTTGTATTTGTTCTGTTTTTTAATTTCAGATCCAGTCCTGGATCGCCTCCATGGCTTCCTCCAATTCTAATCTGATCAGCAAGCAGGTGATCGGAAACACCTACGAGGGACGCGCCATGACTCTCCTCAAGGTATTTAATCAACCCGCCTGCTGTGTTGATTAATTTTTGGATATGTACTACCACCAATTACGTCTAACTAAGTGTTTTGTGATTACTCTGACAACCACAGCTTGGAAAGAAGTCCAGCTCCACCAAGCCCGCTATCTTCATGGACTGTGGTATCCATGCCAGAGAGTGGATCTCTCCCGCTTTCTGCCAGTGGTTCGTCAAGGAGGTAAGAGAGACACCTGGGTGGACGTTAGAGGAGTTCATTAAAGAGTTTTCCATCTTTCACAGCACAGCTTTTTTTTTTTTTTAATTCTTTCTCAGGCTCTCTCCACCTACGGCAGCGACTCTCAGATGACCAGCCTGCTCGACCAGATGGACGTCTATGTTCTGCCCGTCTTAAACATCGACGGCTACGACTACACCCACAAGAGCGTATGTTACACAACCCCATAGGCCTAAGTTTATAGTCTGACCAAATATAACCAATTGTTTATCTTAAAACACAATTTGTCTGACATGATTATTTTGTGCGCTCTGGGGATTTTAGAACAGGATGTGGAGGAAGACTCGCTCCAGGAAATCTGGATCCAGCTGCGTTGGAGCTGATCCCAACAGGAACTTTGACGCTGGCTGGTGCTGTAAGTCTTACAATAGGCACGGTTTTATCTTGAATTGGCACACCAAGAGTTTTATATAGCTCCACTGTAAAGAGTAGTGTTGAAGGGCCAAAAATATCTGTCATAAAATAGTATGACAGTACAAAACAAACATGAATCCTACATTTCCAATGATACAACTTGGTAGCGACCCATGTTACACTAGTTATCACTGAAATGCCCATCCATCATCCATCCATCCATCCATCAATCCATCCAACATCCATCCATCCATCCATCCATCCATCCATCCATCCAACCATCCATCCATCCATCCATCCATCAATCCAACCATCCATCCATCCATCCATCCATCCATCCATCCATCCATCCATCAATCCATCCAACATCCATCCATCCATCCATCCATCCATCCATCCATCCATCCATCAATCCAACCATCCATCCATCCATCCATCCATCCATCCATCCATCCATCAATCCATCCATCATCCATCCATCCATCCATCCATCCAACCATCCATCCATCCATCAATCCAACCATCCATCCATCCATCAATCCATCCATCATCCATCCATCCATCCATCCATCCATCCATCCAACCATCCATCCATCCATCCATCAATCCAACCATCCATCCATCCATCAATCCATCCACCCATCAATCCAACCATCCATCCATCCATCCATCCATCCATCCATCCATCAATCCAACCATCCATCCATCCATCAATCCAACCATCCATCCATCCATCCATCCATCCATCCATCCATCAATCCAACCATCCATCCATCCATCCATCCATCCATCCATCCATTCATCCATCCATCAATCCAACCATCCATCCATCCATCCATCCATCCATCCATCCATCCATCCATTTCCTTCCACAGGAAACAATACCTATTTATGTAAAGAACAGGATCGACAAAAACATTAGAGGTACAACAACCAGTCCTTGTGGGACGCCAAAATCCACATGAATCAAAAAAAATCCTCACAGGAGTTTTTAAAAAATGATTGAAAACACTTAACAAAATTGCAGGTAAAAGTGATTTTAATTCATGACGACTGGGGAAATTATGAGAACATTTGTGGTTTCATGTTGACACAGACTTCAGCCCGATGACATCATAATGACATCATCAGGGTTATTTTCTTCGGAGCCACAAAAGATAGCAAACAAAGAGATTCTTTTAAGGCTGCATAAGTCATATAAAGTGAGCCTCATGTGCACCATGTGCAGCTTTCAAAGAAGTAAAAAAATATTTCTATTGATGTTTTTTTTCTTTTTGTTCATGCAGCCATGGGAGCCTCCTCAAACCCCTGCAGCGACACCTTCTGCGGTTACTCCCCCGAGTCTGAGATCGAGGCCAAGAACGTCGCCAACTTCATCCGCAGGAACAAGTCCACGATCAAGGCCTACCTCACCGTCCACTCCTACTCCCAGCTGCTGCTCTTCCCTTACTCCTACACCTACTCCCTGGCTGCTGACCACAGCGAGCTGGTAAGTCAGCTGAATCAGGGCAGGGAGCATATAAACCAACATGCTTAGACAGTCACAATGACTATATAATTATACATCATGGCAGTGTCACATGCATCGCTCTGGTGCCGCAGGCTTGTATGTACGATCCTGGTGTACACATGCTTTAGGTCCCCAGAGAAGAAATGCTCAATCAAAAGATTCAGTCTCAATCTACATTTCACAAGTTCATGTTTCTCAATGAATTACTGAGATCTTTTGTTTTCTCTCTGGGGGTGACAGGTGTCAATATGAGTCGGGCCTTTAATTACTTTCAAACATAACTTTCAAAATTACAAACTTGTGCACAGCAAATACGAGAAAGACTATTAAAATTGTACATTCACACCAGAAAGAATGTTTAGGTGTGCACAAAATAAGAATATCAATAAAGAAATGAAGGAATTTACTTATTTGAGCACACAAACCTGCTTCACGGCCTGCACACATACGCATTATTCTGTCTTTCTTTGCACAGATGTTGTAGTTCAGTGGTTCTAAACTCATCTAGCCTCAGGCAGGACCCACACCCAACTCCTCCCTGAAAAATCCAGACCCAAATTTCTGATACTTTTCGACCAATCGGAGTTGTACCGACTGAAAAAATGGTGCAATTTGGACCTCAGTCAGTCCAAAACATGTGACACGAGGCAAGAAACTGAACTAAAAAAAATGTGTTTAAAAAGCGCTTCACAGACAAACAAGTGTCTTTCCAGACACACATACTTGCCCTAATCACAATGACTCTGCGACCCACCTCTGGGTCCCCACCCACCAGTTGAGAACCACTGTTGTCGTTCATCGTTTTGTTTGTGTCCTGCAGCTTTTTCTTCTTATTTTTTGGTGCACAAACAAATCAAGACTAAATGCATTGGGGCCTCTAATTTGTGAAAACATGCAGCTACACCCGGCTTGTTAAAGGGGATGAGCTTTTATTTGGAGTTTTACTGATTTGAACGAATGTCTCTATAGATTGTTTTTCTTAAAGCTTAAGCATGAAATCATCCCGGTCCCATTAATCCTGTTATCTAAAGGTTACACTTAGCTACTCCCCCGCTCACATGCCTCGTCCTCATGGCTCTTTTTGCCTCTCACCGGGGTGTCCGAGGGGCTGCACAGTTAACACTCACACCCCGGCTCCAGCTCCTCGCCCTGACAGACGCACATCACACGTCTCTGCCTCTCTATTACTCACTCGTAATTTAAGCTCTCCTCCGACACTTTGCACATCAAAAGATCTCCAGGGATCTGTCATCGCTCGTCTGTTCCAGCAAGAAAATATAATTTCCTGTTTGTGCATTTTTCTCCCGGGGGTTTTTCATTTCCTCCTGGAGCTCGCCGAAGCTTTTGAGTTTTGTAATATTAAGAAAAATGTTTTGTTTGAAGTGTAATGGCTTGTAGATGTTCGAGTGAAGAAACGTGTTTACTATTCTCTTCAACCAGCTTTTGTTGTAATTGTTGGTTAGGTTTGTTCTTTTAGACCGTCAGTGTTTTCATTTAAAAGAACGACTAATTCATTTCTTAAAAAGAAATAATAACTCAGGCGGTTCTTACACTGGAATCACAAGAAATAAAACACATAGTTCACTGCATCCATCACTCTGTTATGTTTTTTACTGGATTATACGGTTAGCTTTGGTGGCTAATGTTAGCTCACTTTGTCATATTGCTGTTTAGGACTTAAACAGGCTCATAAGTTACAAACTTTTTACCTCCTGATAGGTCATTTAACACTTCTGATGTTTCCCTTTCTCATAGCTGAAGGTTGCTGAGGGAGCTTCTTCTGCTCTGCGCAGTCTGTACGGTACCCGCTACACCAGTGGACCCGGTGCTACGACCATCTGTAAGTATACTTTGTATTGAGGCAAAACTTAAAATCATTGTTGTTAATTTCCTCCAGATTCTGGTGTAAATTGTCTTTAGGTCCTGACAGAAATTAATAACTCATGTTCTCTGAAAAAGGAACAAAGAAAATCCATCATCTGTATCAGTTTGTAAGTCTGTAAAAACTTCAACCAATGTCTGCCACGAGGTACCAATCTGATGAACCAATCAGACGCCTCCCTGTCTCCCTGCTCGCTCTCTACCTCCTGCGTGCTCTAGCTCACACTCAAAGAGCGTCACCGATGACTTTAGGAGTTTAAACTGTGAGTTTACTGAAATGAGACATGAGACGACGTAGTTTCTACACAATGACAGAGATGAGCTGAGGTCCACTTCTGGAGCGACGGCGCTCTGTGCATGTGAGGGGGCGTGGCTTAGAGGGAGCACAGAGGGGAGGGGGTGCAGACAGAGCACTGAGGGAATGCTACTTTCAAAATCATTAGTTTTAGAAAATGACCAACCCTGCCTTTAACAGCCAACTTTCCTTGAATGAAAATGTGAGTTAATTTGTGTGAATTCAGAATCAGCTTTTGAGAGTAATGACCTCTAAAGGTAAGAAAGGTCGATGGTTTTCACTCATGTTGACAAGACAAATGTTTATTTTGGCATTTTAAAATTTGAATCTGAGCGAGAACACATCCACGCTGTCTCACCTCGTCAGCTGATTTGATTCTGAAAACTTCCCCCCTCTCCTTATCCGCCCCCCCCTCAGACCCCGCCGCCGGAGGCTCCGACGACTGGGCCTACGACCTGGGAGTGAAGTACTCCTACACCTTTGAGCTGCGTGACACCGGTCGTTACGGCTTCCTGCTGCCCGAGTCTCAGATCAAGCCCACGTGCGAGGAGACCATGCTGGCCGTCAAGTACATCGCCGCCCACGTGCAGAAGAACCTCTATTAAGGAGCCCCGAACTGCCAGGACCCCCGCCAACTCAGCCCCCCAGCCCCTCCAATCTCTCAGCCTTCTCAAGGCCGTAACCATGGATACGGGCAACCACCCGCCATGTTTCCTCGCTGTGTTTGACAGAATGTCAAGATGAGTGCAAACAATAAAATCAATGAACCATCCCCGCATGCTGAACACATTTTTTTTTTATGTGTACATGATAATATATCGTCTCACCGAGCAGGCGTTTGTTGTTTCTTTGTTTTAAAATATAAATCAAAACAGTGATATTTGGTGAATAAAATACAGATTACACCGAAAACAGAACGTTCCTAATAGGAAAGAAATCCTCTCTGCTGCCTTCATGATCAAAGAAAACATCGAGCAAATCATCCAGTGTGCTGCTCTGAACAACTCAGACACAATTTCTCCAACAGAGGAAACCAAAAGCATCCATTCATTTACTGCATCATCGTCTTTGAACTCTGGTGACCCCTCTCGTCAAGCTGGCTGTGGTCCAGCGGTTGAGCTGGGAGCATCAGTCTCTTAAGATATTTAGCCCATGCAGCAGCACAGCACGTGATGTTGACGACCACAGAGTACTCCCTGGCAGCGTCTCCACTCTGCCAAGCATCTGACCGAGTGGAGAAAAAGAAAAGGAGCCAGAAAATCAGCGGGGGGGGGGGGGGGATCCGACATGCAGCAATGGCACACATTTTAGAAGCAGAAGGTACATGCACATTTTATTTTATTTGTAACTGAAGAAATGACATGACATCTGAAGAGCTGAAAGAGAAAGTTAAATGCACAAAAGAAACGAGAAAAAGAAAACAAACAGCTGATTAAATAAATGTCAGATAGAGACGCTGATCAATGTCTGAAACATTTATGGTAGAGGGATGCAGAATTAGCAGGGTAACCAGTTATATAACTACATATATTTAGTTCATATGCACATCTGTAAATATCCATGCATCAAGGGAAATTACTTAAACACTCAGTAACCTTCACATCATTTAAGTAGAGGATCACTAAAGGTGTCATGTTGTATTTTATTTCAGTATAAAAACACCTTAGTAAAGCTCGTATATACAGTCTATGGTCGTATCTCTATAAAAGCAACACTGGCCCACTTGCTCTGGGGATGTACTCCAGACCTTAAAAAAAACAATACCCTGTTGTGTAACACACTTTACAAGAGGACCAGGGCCTTTACAACCAGCTCTGTCTGTCAGTCTTGCAGTATCGCCTTCTGTCCACGAGAGGGCGACAAAACTCCCCAAACGTCTATTTTAGAACATCTTGTTCCTAATCTGTGCACTAAATCACAGCATCATCACCATGTTTACATTGTCATCACGGGGGGAGATGACACCAGACAAGTGGTGGCTGCATAGCAGAGCAGCTGTTTGAAAGGTCAGGGATGCTGGATGATGAATTGGGAATGTTAAAAAGTATTTCTGACGCATGCGTCGTTTTTTTTTTGCCTTTTTTCCTCCATTGCAAACAAAACTTAACAAACCTCAAGCCTTAAAATGTACACTACATTCTTGTTAATCTGTGAACCCCCTGACCTCCCGGGGGGGGGGGGGGTGTCTCGTGTTAGGAGCAGGTGGGTGTGTTGGGTCGCGTCATGTGACGCTGCTTCAGTCATACTGGTATAAATCCACCTCTGTGTATTTGGGCAGTCCTTCTCTCCACCTAAAGCTGCCGTGTCCTCCAGCCCAGGCTACACCGTGGCTTCTTCTTCTTCTTCAGTCATGGCTGGTATGTAACATTCTAACTCTTCAAACTACGCTGACTCCCTCTCTCTCTCTTCCACGGAGCTAACGCGTGTTTTCTTCATTGCTAAATCTCGCGGACTTTGGTGCAGTCAGGTATCAGGTTTAAAGGTGACGTTGAAGTGTCGTTAATGTTTTTTGTAGTTCAGTAAATGTTGGTGCAGCAGCAGCAGCATGAAGTGGAGACAGAGCTGAAGTACATTCTGTCTCCTTCTCTCCATCTTAATGACCAGCTGCTAACTTTAAAGCATGACGTAGGAAGTCATGCTTGAAACATGATGAGTGCACATGACATGAATTCTCTACTAATTAGTCTGTGAGGAACCTCCAATCAAAACACCTGTTTGTTCTTCTCAGTTTGCAACTTATGCATGGAATAAATTAATGAATTGATCTTCTGGTCGTCCTCTTTCAGGTCCCTGAGCCTCTGCTTTGGAAACACTGTTAACTGTATGGCAAAGTGGAGGAAGGGGGGTCAGGAGGGGGGTTGGGGACGTACAGCATGTACTGTACTTTAGAGACTGTGTGGACACTAGTTGCCTTTTTTCTATGCATTAAGGCTACATTATATACTGCTACACTACAGCACTGGATGGGCCAATTGAAAAGAAGGCGAGAGAGGGGGGGGGGGGGGGGGGTGTGGGGGTGTGGCACCATGTACAGCCAGTGAGATGGAATAACTTTCCCTGACAGCTCTCTAAACTCTGACTGCTCCTCAGTTGTGGAAATGTAACCCCCCCCCCCCTTGCCGTGATTGGACGTACGCTCAAATAATTTACAATCCAAGTGTGAATTAAAGTCGGCTCACATGCTGACTTCATGGTCTGCTTTTATAGGTTTCTCTCTCACAGTCTACTTATTGTTCTGAAACTTGCCTTGGCAGGTACATGACACATTTTTCCTGAACGCTGCGCCCTGCAGCCAGCGGCGTTTACCTTAATGACACATTTTAAATGGGTAGTGGCTGCTGGTACCATCTCATGAGGGAGAAGTTTCCCAATTAAGCCAGGCAACAATTGAACCATTTGACTGAAGTGGAGTTGAAGTTGTTTCAGGAAGACTTTTTCCTACGACCTGGAAAGAGGAGCTTTGTGCTGCATAACACATCAAAATTCAATAAAAACTGAGTTAAAAAAAAAAAAAATCCTGTTGATGAAGGCGAGATCGCCCAAAACATTTTCTGATTATAGAAGAGTGTGTTGGTGTTTCATGTTGATGATCTTCTACTGGTCTGCACTTCGTTTTAGTTTATTCTCAAACTTAAGAACGTGCTGTACCATGAACACCTTTAACCAACAGTCCCTGTTTCTGCAGAAATGCATTCAATGAGAATTTTGTTCTAAAAATAATTTCACTTTTAGACAGTACCTACCAATGAGAGCCTCAGAACAGTGACGTTTTTTGCCCTAATGAGGGACCTTTCTCCCCCCATAGTGGAGTCGCATCACATGGGTGAACCAAAGCCTTAATTCAGAATGTACAACCTGATAGCTTTTACATTTTAAGACCTGTTCTATAAGTTATGCATCAATTCTGCAGCTGTTTGTTGATCATCAAAATGTTTCTGACTGTAAACAAAAACAAAAAAAAAAAAACCTGGAAAGAAAAACCAGATGTTTGTTTTTGGTTTCTCCTGTTGCTCAGTGTGTTCATGTTGTTGTTTTTTGATCTCTTGTTTGTGCGTCTTTCTTCCTCCACAGACCAAGCTTTTGTCACGTTGGCGACCAATGAGAGTTACGCCCGGGGCGCCATGGTTTTGGGCAAATCCCTCCGTAACCACAATACAACCAAGAAGCTGGTGGCGCTCGTCGGTCCACACGTGTCAGAGCCTTGCCAGTAAGAGGAAACCGTCCATCTTGTTTCTTCCTCATGTTCCTTTTGTTCATGTTGGTTGTTGGTGGTGATTGATTGTGTTGTGAATCTCGAGGTCGGTGCTGAAGAGGATCTTCGACGAGGTGCGGGTGGTGGACGTGCTGGACAGCGGCGACACGGCTCACCTGGCCATGATGAAGAGGCCCGACCTGGGCGTCACCTTCACCAAGCTCCACTGCTGGACCCTCACGCACTACTCCAAATGTGTTTTCATGGACGCAGACACACTGGTGAGAGAGAGACAGGAGATACAAGAATTCATATTATCACCACACCTGAGTCAACAACTGATATCAAACATAATCAAATGAGCACTGATGCATCATGGGGGATGTGATGTACACAGGCAAAAGAAGTCCAACGTCCATGCAGGAGATCTGCAGGTTTTTGGTGGTTTATTTAAAGAAAGCAAACAAAGAACATGGTGTCTCCTGCTGCCTCTCATAGGCCCACCCAGGTGCATGCTGGTCCTCTACCTCCCTCTGGTGCCCACAGTGTTACCCAAATACCTAACAAAAAAATCTTAATGCAAAACTAAAATTTACTAAACAAATAAGTAGCAAAAATAAAATATAACCCAAAATCTATTCTAAAGAAAACATGTAGAATAATTAAATAAACATCAACATGTTTCTTCTTGGACCTCCCAGGTGCTCTCTAACATAGACGAGCTGTTGGAGCGGGAGGAGTTGTCGGCGGCTCCTGACCCCGGCTGGCCCGACTGCTTCAACTCGGGTGTGTTCGTCTTCAGTCCCTCCAACGAGACGTACGCAAAACTGCTCCAGCACTGCACAGAACACGGCAGCTTCGACGGTGAGTCACGCAGAATAAATAACAAAAGCCTGTTTTGTTTTTGGTTTTTTTGGGTTTTTTTGGGTTTTTTTGCACAGAGCTCTGGTTGACACTCAGCAGCTCTTCTGGAGAGGCGTGCTGTAAGTGAATTGTGGTCGTATTCTTGGCCCGGGGATCAAGTTCACTGAACAGCTCTCCTCAGATCAGCTGCTGAGAACAACATTGGCCTGCAGGGGGGGGGGGGGGGGGGCGCTAACCACACAGCTGATTTAAGACATTACATGAAACAACATTTAATGTGAACATTAGTTCTCCTCTCTGTAGCCTCATGTCCTCTGTGAGGCGAGCTAAGAAGAGTTCTGCTGTGTGTACGTTTAAAGGTCATGACCTTTTCATGCCCATAACATCCGTCCATTCTGTTTCCCGGCCGGGGCCGACCCCAGCCGTCATAACATTTCTTTGATTAATAAAAAGCCAACCTGTTTTTGGTTCTTTGATTTTAGCACCGCTCTAAACAAACTCATTGTTGTCTCTTGATGCTCTGACCTAAAACAGAAAACAGTTGTTGTATAAACAGAATCCAGAACGGTCTCGTAGTAGAGCTTGTGTGTCTGCTGCTTGTTAGCGGCGGTGAACTTCAGAAACTCTAAATGACGAGCGTCTCTCTCCCCTGTTTGATACGGCGACAGATTCCATCGAGGCGAGTTCATCGGAAAAACCAATTAAGTTTTCTTATTCACGGCTTCACGTGCCAAACTCTCTCTGGCTGACGCCGTGTTTGTTGGCAGGAATGTTTTCAATCACAGACACATAATTGTCCGTCCACTAACAGGAGAAGGACTGTTATTATTTATATCTAATAACAGACACAACACTGATGTATGGTAACAGAAAGATACAAGACAGGAAACAGTTTTAATGCTTATTTATGGAAGGCTGTTATTAATAGTGACAGTCTTTATTTGAGCTTTACTTTTTCCATTTTTATTTTTCTGTGAATAATGCACAAAAATCAGAAGGGGTAGGACCAGAAGTGTTTTTAACTTCTTCTTATCCCTTTTGAACATGGACTATGTTATTTGACTTCTTTATTTGTTGCTATGGATCCAGTTTGTTTTTTCCTTTTTCTTAACCTGTTCAATAAATAGATTAATAAATAATATCTCGTATTTCGACGTGATGATGGAGCTCTTGATGGACTGCTAATGAATAAAGCTCTCTTTTATTTATAGCAGTGGACGCTCTTTTCATGCACATGCGTTTTTAAATTGCTTTGACCTTTTTGGCGTTTCACTTCCTCCTCGAGGCGACCGCGATGCACACGTGCAGCACTTGGTTTCTCTTCATGTCACGGTTGATTTTGTGATTTTGGAGGAGAAGCAGAGGAAAGACGAGGAGATATTGAATTGTGCGTTTTGAACCCCAGAGGCTCTGTCAGGTCTTCATCTCTGCAGCTCCACTGTTTGTCTGCTCGCCAAAACAAACTGGCAAAGAGTTGGATTCACATTCTTACTGAGCTCCTCTCATCCCCTCAAAATGAACATCCTCAGCCCCCGTCTTAACTTCTTAAAAATCCCCGAGTGGAGGTTGTGGTGACATCGGACAAACAAGCAGCTCTGTGTGTTTATTTGAAAAGTTCTGCAGCCTCACAGAGTTAAACAGTCCTGAAGGCCGCTCCGTCTCATCCTGTGCCAGCGGCCGTCCCATGACTGACCATTTGGCTTATGGCTGAAGCGGTTCAGCATGAATAGTCAATAGGCCTGTGTCATGCTTTTTTGGTTTTGGTCGAGTCAGCTGTGGATGTGATGATGTAACAGAGGAGATGTTCAGTATGAAGAAATGCTTTCACAAGGACTCGTTTCAGCTCTGCTTGTGTGCTAGAAAAAGTGCAAATTCACACTCCCTACCTCACCACAGAGTCTCTGCGGTGAAGCTACACCCACTTTTAGAATCAGCCAATCAGAGCGAGGGGGAGTGCAGACGCTTCACCAGGACACTTTCTTTATAACGAGTCTGAGGGGTTAATTAATCCACAAAGTGAGAGAGACTTTTTGAAAAGTTGTTTTCCTGGAGGTCGAGTACTCATGAATGAACTTATTGAAACGATGGTCGCTGTTTGAATATTCATTAGTCTTTGGGCGGCTGTGGCTCAGTGGTAGAGTCGGTCATCTCTCAACTGGAAGGTCAGGGGTTCGATCCCCAGCTCCTGCAGCTACATGTTCTTTGTCCTTGGGTTAGACACTTTATCCAAAGTTGCTTCGTTGGTGGCGGGGCGTGATGAATGTGCCTTTTCTCCAGGCGGCTGTTTTCTGCTGCTGCTCTCTTCACTGAAAAGAAATGTGCTGGAGCTCAGACAGAAATGAAGGGTGGATACGGGTCCTTCTCATCGATTTGCACAGTTTCAACAAATAAAGTTGGTGATTATAAATGTTGAAGTTGCAAAAACAACTTGGTGCAGTCTGGTGCTTGTCCCTGAATCGGTAGGGGGGCGGGGTAAAGGAGACATGGATGTTAGCAACACTAGCTCGGTTAGCTTCTGTCACAGCAAAAACAGTTCCTTTTTATTTCAAACTTAAACATACAGAGCTTTTATTTTGAAGTTGCAAAGTTAATTCTTCCTGTTTCCTGCTCCAAAAATGTGTCGATCTTTACGAAATATTAAAAAATATAAGAATAATTTTGTTTGTCAAAGCTTAACGTTAAATCCTCCTGAACTTAACAAAATAAAAGTCTTTATTTACTGTGAAGAGAATCTCCCTCATTGGTTGAAAACAGTATGACGGCTGTGTGTTCACAGTTGATCAAACCGTCGAGCTTTGCTGTTTCTTAACATGCTAATAACAGCAGCAGCTTATAGAAAAGCTTCTGCTGTTGCCGGGCAGATTTTGAACGTTGAACTTGAAGTGTTGTATTTCAGGGAGCAAACAGCAGCCGATCCATCTTTTGTCAAATGAGATGAATAAATCCCGACTGCTGCTGGTGGATCATCCTATAGACTGTATGTAAATATAGCCCTGAACTTTAGTGCCACACGCTGTGGTCTTTGAAATGTAGCTGTGGGGTGCAGAGTGGAGTGTCAACAGTACTGCACGTGTGACAGACATGTTCTGTACATGTTGTCTCTGAACCGTCTGCAGCTGCAGTCAGATCTCTGCTGTGCACATGAGTCAGAAACTGTTCACGCCCTGCCTGAGCTCTGCATCAAATCCTACTTTTTACTAAGTCACTCGTACAGGAAGTGAGTCTTTGCCCGGGGCTCTGGACGTGTTGGAAATCACTCCCATCAGCTCGACAGATCTCGACAGACTTGATGACGTAAACGCAGATCGAGCAGAAAGTCTTAATTATTAACGCTGCTGTCACAGGTGGAGCGATCATCTGACTGCACGCTCACACGGCTTTCTTTCAAAAACAGCCATCCAGTCATAATCTGAGCCGGTCGAGCTGCACTTCATTAGCTCAGTCGACCTGTTATGTCATCGTATCAGTTCCTCAAAGACGCACTCCTCATTCTCTAAAAGTGAATTTAAAATGTAGATATTGTATTTCTGCTCTCTGGGATTCTTCAGGTCTGTGCTGAGGTGAACTTTTAACCTTTTTTTTTAGAGGATGTTTATGTGATTCTCTCCAATAGTTCACACTTCTAATAATACATTTAATTTGTAATGCACTTTTGCAAAAAAAATCTCAAAGTGCTACAGAAAAAAACAAATGAAAAGCAGAAGGCTTTGTTAAAAAGGTTTGTCAGCAGACTGTGGAGCCGTCAGCTGCTCGGGGAGAGAGGAGCAGACTTCTCCTGATTATTCCTGTTTTTAGTTCATTTACTGTGACACTAGCATGTTTCCTTTTCTGTCCCCGTGTGTTCCAGGAGGAGACCAAGGTGTTTTGAACAGCTTCTTCAACACCTGGGCGACGGCTGACATATCCAAACACCTCCCCTTCATCTACAACCTGAGCAGCATCGCCATCTACACCTACCTGCCGGCGTTCAAGCAGTGAGTGTCCGTCTGACAGGGACGTCAAATTCTGTTTTTTAAGTTTCTACTGTAAACGTCCAGAAGAGAGTCTGAGACACGAGGCCAAAGCTGTAAGCAGATTCTCCCCCCCCATCACATGAACCTGCAGTCACACCCTGACATGTCATCAAGTTACGAGCGAGATGAGCTGTAAGATTCCAGCGGCTCTTGCTCGAGTTCCCCCCCCGCAAGGCCTCGACGCCGGGGGGTTAGATATCCACCCTGAGCTCCCAACAGCTGAAACCAAACTCCAAAATAGATGAGGTTTATTTAAAGACCTTTTATGTTCTCCTCTAGGACTCGTCATTGTAAACCCCCCCCCAAAATCCCTCCCATCCTCAAGGCCTCTTCTCCATAGAAACAAAGCTCATCAACAAGATCATGGCTTTGGCATTCCCTGGCATCCAGATCAGGTTGACAGGGTGATAAACATGTATTGACTTGTTGGTTGTTGTGTTTAAGAGGTCTGACACCCCCCCCCCCCCCCCCCCCCCCCCGAGACTGATTCAGGCTTATTTGTGTACATGATCTGTCTGCCAGTACTGAGTATAAAATCCCTCTCTGTTGTTTGTGTTGGCGTGCTGTGAAATGAAGTCACATGTTTTCATGTAATGTAGTCCAGGATCTAAACCACTACAGACACCTGAGCTCTCAGTTTAAAACACGCTAAGCTACACGCTAAGCTACGATCACAAAGCTTTTCAAGAACTACAAATAACAGTCGTTCCATTGAAACTGTCAAAATGAGACCGGACTTCTTCTTCTGGCTGCTTACATGAAGGAACAAACACAGAACAGCTTCGTCGTCAAGAGGTTTTCTAGTCTGTTATCAGGTCGGACTTTATATCCACTTTAAAATGTTCTTTTTCACACTCTGTGCTGTCTGACAAAAGGAGGTTTGGTGTCTTTCTTCTTGTTTCACTTCCATGAAATCTTCAGTATTTCTGTTGTTTAGCATTAGCTCATATCTGCTAATGCTGAAGTTGACCTCTTTCTTTGTGGAACCATCTTAGGATCATTAAAATGCAGCACAACCAGTTTTCTGAACTTAAATATCGGCTTCAGCAACAAATGAAATGGAAACTATTGGAGCCTGAACGATAAATCAGCCGGCCGATAACAAATAAGCAAGCAACGACTAATTTTATGTCTGATATTTGCTGATGTTACCGTATTTATTCACCAGTCAAAAAGCATTTAATTTCAGTTTCATTGCATGACACTTCAAGTTCTTTTTCTGGCGCTCACCAGCAGAGGGCGCTGTGTGGATTACAACAGTGATGCTCAGTTACTTTCCAGTTATTTTTTTTCCCCTCCCTAATATCAGTATTGATATTGGCCCCAAAAATCCACATCGGTCCGGTCCTAGAAATGATTTATAAATATTTCTCAGGATCTCTAACCACAGCGTGTGATCAGGTCGATCTTTCTCCTCCTTCAAACTCTTTCAGATATGGCGGCAACGCCAAGGTGGTCCACTTCCTCGGTAAGACCAAGCCGTGGAGTTACACGTTCGACCCCAAAGCCAAACAGATCTCAGGCAGCGTGCACGAGGCCACCGCACACCCCACCTTCCTCCTGGACTGGTGGACCCTGTACTCCAGCGCCGTGGTGCCCCTGCTGCAGGAGCAGTACGGAGACCAGCCCTTCCACTCTGGATGTGTGGAGGTGAAAAAACACAATCATCCAAAGTCAAGTTTTAAACATATCACATCAACTGCTTTATTACAGTTTACGACTTTAGTGACCACACGGGCCGAGGCTTCCTGGTTGTTCAGTTCCAAAGTAATGAATGGGACTCGATGGTTTAGTTTCCTGTTTCTTTAAATGTTTCACACTTAAATGTAGAAATCAAGTCTATCCTCTGAAAATAACTCTGTGAGTCATGACTGTCTACAATGGGTGTAACACCCGAGTCCCACTGTCTGTGATGTTTTCAGAGTTTTCAGAGTCCTATCTTCACTTTGTTTACATCGCCGGGACGGCCGGCTGACTCCTCCCCTCGTGTATAAAAGTTGTTTAATTGAGGGACTAGAGAAAAGAAGAATAACATACTGTACTCACTGCTTAACTGTGTTTCTAGATCACGCTCATTTCAGGTAAATTTACATGCAGTGTGAAGATACCAGCATAATAAAGATCGCTAGCATTAGCATGCTAACACAACAATGCAGCACAAGTTGTTTTGGTTTCATGCTGGTGCTCAAGGGCGACATCTGCTGGATCAAAAAATCTCAAACTTTAAAGGAAGAATGTGTTCCTGTTATTATGAATGCACAGGTATCTTTCTGTTGAATCCTCCATCATGTTCCTCGTTTCTGAGCACAAGATGTTGTATTTTTTTTCTGCCGGTTTACTCTTCTCTGTATGTTTTCCGCTCAGGGTGAGAGCAGCCCGTTCGCAGAGGCCCTCGGGCCCCAGCTGTCCTCAGAAGAACGGAAGCAGAAATGGGAACAAGGTCAAGCGGACTACATGGGAATGGACTCGTTCGATAACATCAAGAGGAAGCTCGACACCTTCCTCAAATGAAGAGATGGAAACAGGATATGAAGAGCACTTTCAGTAAAACATCATCACCACCGGTCTCGCAGTAAAAAACCAGGTTTTTCTGTCCACCTGTTTTATCAACTAGAGTCGAGTCTCTCCCAGCACCAGCAGCCTCCCCCCCCCCCCCCCCCTCCCCCGTACTCCAAAGACAGAGCCGTTTAAATGGAGGAACAAGTTACCTAATAAGAGCGGCTGTAATCGTCTATGCAAGGCTGTCATTGGCTGACAGCCGCACTGTGAAGACAAACAGGAAACACTTCTTACACCTTTTCTTTTTTTTTACCTGCATTATAATTTGAGCAGTTTTGTTTGACACAAGTTGATTAAGAGTCATATCATTTTGATTATTTTTTTTTTTTTACGACGCAGTCATCGAGGAGTCTTCTGAGCATTTCTATCTTACTTCATTTGAGTCGAGGAGCCTCGGTTTAACACGGATTTATTAACACATTGACGCACTTAGCATGATCGTGGAGCCGTTTGTGCCTTAGTGTCTCTGCTCTCTGTAGTGCCATCATCCTTCTTTTCTAGACTAGCAGCTGATTTAGATTTCTAACTTTCTTGCATTGAACTTGACACGGATGTGAGATGTTCCATTTAAACCTTTCATCTGGAAATATTAAAAGATTGAAAAGTTTTTCTTCTGGTGTTTTTATTTTATTTTTTTGTCTGGAGTCCCATCGATGGCGGTCTCCATGCTGGAAATGCTGTCTCAGTCTAACTTTCAGTCAACCTAACGACAGGCTGAGAGCTGGAGCTGAGGCGGGTTTTAAACCTCCTGACAAACCGTTACACCGCGCCCACCTGTCAATCAGGTCAGCTACACGCCTTATTGTGAATAACTCTTATCCTTCATCAAATCAAAACTGATGAGTCATCAAAACATTCACCCCCCGTACAGTGTGTGTCCATCCAGACATGAGCTAATCACACCTATTTGGTTTTTTGAACCAGGCTGTAAAAACAGGCTTTTTAGAATGGGTGTGTATGTGACTTCCTGTGCTTCTGCAGCCAGCCTCTAGTGGACACTCCAGGAACTGCAGGATTTTACACTTCAGTATCAGTTTAATTTTTCAACACCAGAGGTTGCTGCTTGGTTTTGTTACTAAAACGCTGATAGGCTTAGTTCATCAATTTATTCATATTTTGATACTAATACACATGAATATTTCAATGCCTGAGTCTGAACATCGTCTGCCTGCCTCTCTATCGACCTCTACCCAACCTCTGGATTTTAAAGGTAAGAATATTAACCACCGCAGACTTTTCAGATTTGCTTCTTTTGGCAGCTGTTTCTAATCTCTTTATAGTCTGTGTGACCTTATGACCTATTCTAACAAAACATTTAAAGCTCTGTCACTTTAAAAGTGATTAGCTCAGACAGGAGGTTATATTTTTTGTACATTTATTTATTTTAATCATATGTCTGAATGTTAACACAGCATGGTAACAACATGGTAACAACAGCAACAAACGTTGTGGAGTCTACAAATAATATGTTTAAATATCTGTTCCAATTTATATTTCAGCGAAAAGTTGATGTGCAAAATGTGAAGTAATAAAAAGTATGTTAACATTCACAAAACATTATTTTGCCCCTGATGTCATGATAGATAGATAGATAGTTTATTGATCCCGAGGGAAATTCAAAGCATCCAGTAGCAGGTTACAAAGACATGACATGAAACATTTGTTACAAATTAACCACAAAACCGACCTAAAAATAAAAAAGTGTTGACCTTCTGAAGTTGTGTTGTTTTATATGTACAGCAATGTTTAAAAAAGTATCTAAAAACAGACATTAAATAACAGGCAGTGCAAACATTAAGTAAAGGTGCTATGTAAGTAATTGAGGTGATCATTAAAGTGTCCAACTAGAGGCTGACTCTTGGGACAGCTGTGCAGAATATGACGGCAGGTCGGGCACCTCGTTTTTTTTCTTGAGTTTGTGAGTTGTTCCGACCTGAGCAGGTGTTCATGTTCATGTTAGAACTCTGAAACTCATTTTTCCGACGTGTCCGACGCCACATGAATGCACCAAGAGCCTCGTCCCTCCCTGAGCTCTTAGGCGCCCCGTTAAGGGGTCCCGGACCCCAGGTTGGGAACCACTGTTCCAAGGAACGTCACGGATGAACGTCACCGGAATAAGTTTTACTAAACTGAAGTAACAGATTTAGCAGCAACAGACAACTCGACAGCAGCAGATGTTACTTTTTTATCCAGAACCACATTTGCGGTTTTGAACGCAACTCGGGACTGTTCGGTGATGTCATCAAGGGGGCGTGTCGTGACCCAGGGGGCGTGTCGTGATCCCCGCAGTGGGTGATGTAGACCTTTCCAGGGAAGTAAAACCCAGCAGCAGCAGCAGCCTACACACACACACACACACACTAACCATTCCCCTCAAGATGGCCCCGCTGCCCTGGTTCCGAGTGGCTCTGCTGGTCTCGTTTTCGGTCTTTCTCACGGTTCTGTTGGGGTTCGGACTGCCTGCCCTGCTGAACGCCGTCATGAGGATGTTCGGACTTCCGGAGACGAGTGTGACCGAGTGCATCGTTGTTCTTTATTTACTCTTTGTTTTTTATGTAGCGACGCCGAGAATCCCCCGAGGAGAGGTGGAGGTAAAGTACAGAATGCGCTTTAAATTACTCCGACATGGAAATCAACAAACGTCCCATTTAGGCTCCCGTAGCTGTGTTAGTATATGTTATTATGACTCTTATTATAGAGGAAGGACATGCACTGCAGACTGTTTTTAGTCCTCTATTCTCTCCTTCACTTCTGTTGCTTTTATTTGACATTAAACCTTTTCAGACTTGTTTTTACTTCCACTTGTTGCAGACTCCTCTCCGTTTTATCTGAATATTGATGTTTCATTCCTGACTTCCTTTGTCCCTCAAATCCCTTTGTAAACATGTTTAAAGGTGCTATATGAATAAAAGTGATTGTTATGAACAATTATCAACTCATCTGACCCCCTGTTAATGTTTAAACACGCCTTAACTCTCTCACTCTTTGACTTATTAACTCTGAAGTCAAACATGTTTCACCTGCTGTGAAATAAAAGCCCTGATGTTTTTATTTATTCTTCGTCTGTGCAGGTGAAGGGAAAAGCCGTGTTTATAACGGGGTGTGACTGTGGCTTTGGTCACGCGCTCGCCAAACATCTGCACAAACTCGGCTTCACAGTCTTTGCTGGATGTCTCCTGAAGGTACAGATTCAAACACACTGCTCGTTTCATTTGTTTGTTTGTTTGTGTTTTGAATGTTGTTCTCGATGTCGCTGTGCGTCCTGCAGGATAAAGGCGGCGAGGGGGCAAAGGAGCTGGAGGAGTTTTGCTCAGATCGCATGAAGGTCGTGCAGCTGGACGTGTGCAGCGACGAGCAGGTGAACCAGGCAGCAGAACACATCAGAGAGAACCTGGAGGACTCAGAGAGAGGTAAACCTGAAACCCTCTGTGACTGTCACTGTCATTGTTTCTGTCATCACTTCCTGTCTGTGCTCGTGTCTCAGGTCTGTGGGCCGTGGTGAACAACGCCGGTGTGTCCACATTTGGAGAAGTCGAGTTCACCTCCATGGACACCTACAAGCAGGTGTCAGAGGTCAACCTCTGGGGGACCATCAGGGTCACCAAGGCGGTTCTGCCGCTGATCCGCAGAGCCAGAGGTGAGCGGCTGGAACACAACATGTTACATATCTGAGTTAAACAGTGTCCAACACGTCTGCAGGGACAAACTAACCTTTGATTTGGACGTTTTTTCCACATCTACTCATGAGAGTTTCTATTGGACAGAAAATTCTGCAGTTAAGTTAGTGTCCCGTGATCTCTGAGTGGAATGCTAACTATGCAAACGAGCCGGACGTTGAAAAACATATTTTAATCCTTTCTATGTAAAGCAAAGTGAAGCTTTTATTACAACATAGTCAAATCATACTTTTATTTTTTTATTTAGGAAAAGCTTTCTTCACACATTAGTAATTACACATGATTGAAAAATAATTGCAAGACTCCTCCCTCAAACTTTCAAACATTGGAGCACTTTCTTTGCAGAAAGGGGGCGGGGGGGGGAGGGGTACGATGCTCGCAGTATATTTAACAATTCAGCTCTTCAAAAGATGTTTTCATATTCAAGTTAACATGACATTAATTAATTTAATTAAATCTAAATTATTTACAAAAGAACACAGGAAGCTTTCACCGTCCAGAACTTTACAATTTATGGAGAAAACATTTTACAAATTACAGATTTAAACAGCAAAATGTTTGTCAAAGATCATCATCAAAACACATCAGGGAGAACATCTGCAGCCAGGTCGTCGAACATCCTCTTTAAATCATCCAATCAGAGCAGCTCGTTCAGTCTCAGCTCTTCTTGTGATTGGTTCAGAGAGAGCAGCAAACTTAAACGCCTTGAGACGCCCGTTCACTTCGGACTTTTTAAACGTTTTTTTAAATGTTTGTTTTGACTTCATTTGTTTGTTTCTCTCTCTCCAGGCCGCGTCGTAAACCTGGCGAGCATGTACGGCCGGATGGGAAACGTCATGCGCTCGCCGTACTGCGTGTCCAAATACGGCGTGGAAGCCTTCTCCGACTGCCTCCGCTACGAGATGAAGTCCTGGGGCGTCAAAGTGTCCGTGGTCGAGCCGGGGAACTTCATCGTGGCGACGGGCATCCTGACGCGGGACATCGTCGCCAGCACGGCCAACAAGCTGTGGAGCGAGGCGCCGCCGCAGGTGAAGGAGGACTACGGGAAGGCGCACTTCGAGAAGCTGGTGGCTCTGATGCGCTCGTACTGTAACAGCGGGCAGAAGAGCGTCGCCCCCGTGTTGGACGACATCACCGACGCCCTCGTGTCCAAGCGTCCGTACACACGATACAGCCCCATCGAGCCGCACTGGTGGATCAGAGTGCAGGTGATGACTCATCTGCCCGGCGCCATATCCGACCTCCTCTACCTCTGAAGTACACGCTCTTTGTCGTCCAGCTCCGGCGGGCCTTGGATCACAGCGAGCAGCTGTCCTTTGTAGCGCCACACAGTGAACTCTGCTGATCGAGCACTTTGCTTTTTGTTTGTCTGACGAGATCAAGAACTTGATGTACTGATTCTGTGTTGAGTAGGAACTACTTTGTGCAGAGTTCAGACACTCTTAGCTCTAAATAATTCATCTTTAAAGTCTTTATATGTGATGTTTTGATCCAGCAGATGTCGCCCTTGAGCTCCAGCATGAAACCAAAACAACTCACGCTGCATTGTTGTGTTAGCATGCTAATGCTAACACAACAACGATATTTATTCTGCTGGTATCTTCACACTGCATGTAAATTTACCTGAAATGAGCGTGATCTAGAAACACAGTTAAGCAGTGAGTACAGTATGTTATTCTTCTTTTCTCTAGACCCTCAATTAAACAACTTTTAGACACGAGGGGAGGAGTCAGCCGGCCGTCCCGGCGATGTAAACAAAGTGAAGATAGGACTCTGAAAACTGTGAAAACATCACAGACAGTGGGACTCGGGTGTTACACCCATTGTAGACAGTCATGACTCACAGAGTTATTTTCAGAGGAGATACTTGATTTCTATTATATTTAAGTGTGAAAAATCACATATAAAGACTTTAAAATCGCTAACTTTATTTGTTGAAACTGTGCAAATCGATGAGGAAGGCCCCGTTTCCACCTTTCATTTTTTTTAGTGAAGAGAGAATGTGTTCGCAGCAGAAAGCGGCGGCCTGGAGAAAAGGCACAGACACCCCGGCGTCGTTTTTTCCGAGCGCTAAAAGTAAAAGTAATGGAGCAGTGTCGGTCATACAGCGGCCGTTGTCAACAAACTGTTGTCATGGAGACAGGACGGAGCGCTTTTCTTCTATAAGTGAAAAATCACATATTAACCCTTTAAAGTCTGCTGTGGTGTTATCTTAAATCCCCTCATGTATGAATATCTTCCATCCTGACATTTTGTTCCTCATGGGAATCGTTCCCTCTGGAGCAGTGCTGGTGAAGCTCGAGAGGAGAGCTTCCTGCTGGTTTTTTTTGTGACAGACGCCGGAACAAGCCGAGGTCGGCCACAGTAACGGCGTGCTGAGATTTTGGCTGGACGCGTCAAAAAGTTACATAACCACTAACACAAACCCACTTTGTCTGAAATCTGCAACAAGATCCTGCGTGCTGCTTTGGACACTGAGGGTGATTGATGTGATTAATGACTATGATTGAACAAAAAAGGTCGCCCCCCCCCCTCCCCCTCCCCCTCCTCTCTCCTATCAAGCCTTCTAGACTGGAAACTTATTTTGTATATAAAATATATTAATGAATAAATTAAAAATTAGTTACATTTTTAAAGAATGAAGTGAAATAAAGTGACCCAAAATGAGGCTGTGTTTTGTGAAAAATCTCATCTGAGTTAGCCTGAGTGGTGTTGCTAGATGTAATGACAGAAATTGGCCACCAGGGGGCGGGCATGTATCATAAATAGGACTTCAAGGGGAATCATCTGCCTGTGAAATGTGTCAGTTTAGGTTTCTTTATCAGAACATTATATCAACGTGGAGGCACAGGGATGTAACCAGTAGGAGAACAAGTTTGGGTGGCAGGAGGACTTTGTTGGGAAGCGGAGGGTTGCCGGTTCAAATCCCGGTGTGGACCAAAGTGTGGAGGAAGAGAGGAGCCAGGCAGCGGTGATTGCAGAGCCTGTGGGGGCTTCAAGGCCAACATAATTCCCCTCAAACATCCCCCATATTCAGGGCTAGACAAGCATCATTCAGTCGTTTACTATTCTATGACTGAGTGTTGTGAGATGGGGCCCCCTTAGGGAGGTTTCCTACTGTCGTTGAAAACTTTGCACATTTTCAGTCACTGCTGTTCATTTAAGTTTTATCAGGCCTTAAGGGTCCATCACTGACCTGGGGGTCCTAAGCAGCGCCTCTGGTGCCGGGTCACTTCCAAAATAGTGCCGAGGTCGCCTTGAGCAAGGCACTGAACCCCCCCCCCCTCCCCCTCTGACATCTCTTCACTAATACAGGTCTACAGGTCGTGGCTGTGAACATTATTCCCTGTTATATTCAAACAGGAATTGTTACATTGTGCTTGCATTATTTTCAGGCTTTAGGTCAAATGAAAGTGGAGATTGCAACATTGTGAGAGAATTCAAACACAGAAACACGTGATCTGTTTGGTTTTTATCGTTTATTACGTCTTTTGAACACTCTAATAAACTCTTCTAAATTATTACACCTGAAGACGATCTCCCATCCATCCATACAAACAGTATTAAGAGCATGACAATTAAAATTTCACAGCACCGCCGTTCTCTTTCCACAGCATGGATCTGTTTTTTGTTTTCTTCACTTTCTCTCATACAGAAAAAAAAAAAAAAAAAAAAGCTTTCTTTTTCAAGACAAAGAACACCGTAGAGATGTAAGCAGCACTCAAGCACCAGATTTTGTCGGTTTTAGTTTGGAGGGGGGCGGGGGGGCTCCAGCTGCGTGTAGTTCTTGAAATAGTTTGATAAAATAAACTCTTGATAACATCATAACTTCTTTATCCTTTAAGGAGATTCTGAATGTCTGCACAGCTACAAGGCTCTGCTCATGCAGCCTCCATTAATATCAGACGAGTCTATGCAGGGAGACGCTGAACTTCTGAACATCAAGTTAAACATTTAAGCACTGATGATACGTTTCCTTTTCTTTACATATTTAAGTGGCTAAACTGCAAAAGTGAATGTCTAAAAAAAGAAAAAGAAAAAGACAGTTCCTTCACGACCCAACGACATGTGATACCGTTAGAGTCGAGGTGCTTGAAGGTGAGATTCAGGTCATGATTAGATCACACCTGGAAGCTTCTCCTTATGAATGAAACGACACATGTAGGCGTTCACCGTTTCATGGAAGTGATGAAGTCTGCTAAAGTTAAGGTCACTTGAAAACTAGACACGATGTTGCCTAAAAGGGCATTTAATCATGACAACAACAACAACAAACAAAAGAAACAGTTGGAGCTTCTGTCAACAAAAGAGAGCATTAAATTAGGAAAACGCCTTTTCTCTACATGAGGATGTCGCCGGACACCGTTTCGACATATCGCTCGCGCTGATCGAGCTCGTGTGACGCACATGCAAAAAGATTTAACCAAATCATGTGAGGCAGAGACGAGGGACGTGGGAAGATGAATACTTAAAGGTGCAGTAAACCTTTGGTTGACAGAAAGCTGTGAAGGCACATTTAAAAAAAACAACAAACAACATCTCCTAAATCCTTCAAACTGGGGCACATGGCGTTGGCGTTTGTCACTTTTTTTTTAATTCAGCGTTTTGGTGCAGACGCTGCAGAGCTGGAAGCAGTGGGGGGGGGATTCATCCAATTTAAACAAAAAGAAAGAAAAGAAAAGGTCGCTGATAGAAGTTTGTCCAGATGCAAACACAGCATCTTATGTTAATAGTCAGGGAGAAAAAAAAAAAAAAGCATGGCACAGAAACGACAGCTTGGGATTGGGCGCTATAAACGAGACGTAACAGGATTCCTGTAACCCAAATACTTATTGTGGTGACTGAACACAGAAGGAGGGGGAACAGGCACGGGTTGTCACACAGAACAAAACAGGTTCAACTAAGTCAGTCTTCACGGTTTCAAGTCCAAAAAAAAAAGAGGAAAAGATCAAGCAACACTGACGACCAATCCTGTGACATGTTGAACCGTGTTGCTACAATTCTGTTCAAAACAGAATTTAAACCCTGGAATGTGTTTTTTTTTTTTTTTTAAATGTTTATATCGTATGATTCAAGATCTTCATCAAGACTATATGTTTATGGTTAGAAGTATAAAGCCATCCAATCAAACTGTAAGCTAATGATGATTTCAAATGCATCTTCTGCATGCTCACTCGTTAAGCGTTTGGTGTAAAGGTCCAGGAGAGCGGCGAGGAAGTAAAGGGTCACACCCATGTTTCATGCTCAGACCCATTAGACCTTAAAAGCCCTCTAGAAAAAATACTGCCATCCAGAAATCCTTTTATTCTCTGCTGTGATGCATCAGCGTTGGCTCGCGTTCAGATTTCCCCGCCCATTAACGACTGGGAGCGCTAATCCAGATCCTCTCTCCTCCCTATATGATCCTGCTGGCTTTTTTTTGTTTTTTAATGGTCCCATTTTTCCATTCCTCCTCTATGAAATCCCCTTTCCTCTCTCTCTCTCTCTTTTTCTCTGTGCTTCATTCAACAGCTGGAGAACTCGTCATCCTCCTCGTCTTCCCTGAGCCTCGCTGCTGCTGCTGCAGCTCTGATTGCAGGCGCTAATGCTAGCTAGCTGCACCCCAACATTCAACTCCACTTGGTCTGATTTCACTCCAACGACGCCCACTCACTTGAGACCTTTACTGTAAATACAAACCATGTGTTCTGCTGACACTGACTACATCTGAAAAACAAACTCAGACTTCTTATGGAAGGAAAAAGTGGAGATTCCCGGGTTGTTAAAGCAGTTTGCTTTTCGACCCTGAAGGAGTTTGTTTCTGATTTCCTCGAGGAAGAGGGCGTCTCCTAGCTTCATGTAAGGACCCTGCAACCACACAAAAGCGACCCCTGCATGACCCCTCCGTTCCCTCCAGTGATCACTAATTCTGAAGCAATGACATCATCGTCCGGACCGCCAGGACTGTCCCTCCGTTTCCCCGTTCAGACTCCTGCAGAACGGGCGAGACTTTTTAGAACCAGCTCCTCCGCCTTTCCTCCTACTTTATCCCCCGAGAGAGATCTCCTTTGGCAACGCTTTGTGAGAGGACGCATCAGCTGTCAGTCAAACTCCAGCAGGGGGAGGGGGCTTTCTGCCTTGTCACATGACCTCCAGACTCTCAGCTACACCTCGCAGTCACTAATGTGGACCGTGGATCGCTCCTTAAGGGGAGACGGTGAAGGCATGAGCAGGACGCTGTTCCCATCAGCGTGCATGCATGCAAAGTCATGGGATTCTCTT